GTCTCTTCTCGTCCAAATCAAGGGACAATGCGCAATTAGTGGCAATAAATCAGGTTTATACTGTGCAACTAACTCTCTGAAATAGGCAATTAACATCCCGAGCAACTAACTTAAGGAATAGTTAGATTCCGATATGACTTAATGTCAGCAGTTATCAACTCATTAAGATAAAAGTAAAAAGAACTGATCACTAATTCTAAAAATCACCTTGCTTCCCATAAATGTTCCATTTGCTTATCGGTCAAATATTCAGCATCCACAAAACGTAAGGAGTCAAGAAATTCCTTCATTGAATTGGCTGGCTAGAAAACCTTTCTTATACTTATGAAACAATAAATTCTCATGAATCATAAGTACGAAATAATTACTGATGATAAAGCTTGTAAACGCAATTTTCCACCGTAAGCATCCAGTTTTTCGACATATTCGCACATTGAATCTATATCTGGGAATTCTACACATCCATAATCTTCAAATTCTACTTCTATACGAACTGTATCATGATTGTCATTTGATCCTACCTAAACATATTGTATATTTTACACAGTTTGATTATCATTTATACTTTATAAACTAAGAAAATAATTCAAAATGTTAAAAAAAGTTTACTGTGGTTGCATCATTATGCTGTGCTAACAAATGTGCAAGCAAACTAAAGCACAGATTTGATGAAGAAAATATGGTGCTACATTCAGCGTTTATATGCAGCAGTCCAAAGTAAAAATATGTGTAAATTGAAATAACGATTTAATAACTAATATTGTGAATCCGGCAGAAGGCCGCATCAATATCGATAGACGAATTAAAGTGAATATCCGGATGTCTTTAGTATTTACAATACGTGATAATAAATTTAAAAGCCTTATAATTCTTAGCTGCAATTTTTCGGTCAGATATAAAAGTGTTACTTGTCCAGATGGATAAAGTAGCTCGGTGCAGTACTTCGGAAAAGGCCACAAATAAAGCATAAATTTTCCCTGAATGAGCTTCTCATTACAATCGAAAAGGCGTATATTTACCCAACCAATTCCACTATATTCCTAAAAATACAATTAGCAAACCACATCTGGAAAAGACTGTGTACGTTTGAAAAGTAAATGAAGAAAACTGAAATTAACCTCCTTCTTTTTTTGTTTTACGGCAACTAGAGAAAGGCACAATTGTACAGACGGAGCCAAATCTTTTAAATGTACATCGAAATCTATCCAGCCCTAAAAATCAAATAATATATTATCAGCTTCGAAAATCTGACAATATATACCGAAATTTAAAAGAAAAAAACGTGTATTCTACTTACACCACTCCAACGCGGATTTGAAGGAGAAACACAGGCTGATTCTCTGTTTGCAATAAGATCTATCCCGTGATATAAAGATGCTTTTACATATATCTTGTCAAAATCTAATATGCTTAAATGAGATGCGCTGTGTATCCGTAATTTCAAATTATCATCCACTTTCCACAAAGAACATTCCTAAATCAAGTTCGATTTAAATTTTCTCAGATTTTAGTAAAAACTTTTAATTATTTTCTAAATTTCGTTAACATTTCAAAAGACATATGAGCAAGAACAAACGGTTGAAAATGCAAACCTTCACGGCAACTCCATCAGTTCGATCGAGTCGACTCTCATACGCTCGCACCCAACCCGGCTAAAATAATAGAGAAATGCAATCAAAAAAATAGAACAAGAAAAGCAAAAAAAAATGTTCAGTAATTAAAAAAAAATCACCATAACTTTTTCCTTTAAGTAACTGTGAGTTATTGGAAGTATAGGAAACTTTACCAGTGCTTAAGAATCATTAAATTGAATATGAATTAAATGAATGTTTAAATGTGTTGAAATTAAATATATGAACCATTAAATTATGCTCCGTAACTCAAACTAGATGTTTTCAACATTCCATCGCTTATAACACTAACTCATTATAATTCCATATTCTGATTAATACGCGTAAGAAAGTATAAAATGCTCACTTTGGTTATCGGTGGAGGTTCTGTAAAGTCTTTCATCACAATATCTTTTCTTCGCAGTATGAATTTTGGTATGCGATAATTCTCGAAGGATGATCTGACATACTACAAATTAAAGATTATGATTTACTGCAAATAAAATGACAAAATAAACGAATGAATTAAGTAAAAGAAATAAAATTACCTCAAAACTGGTTAACCTGATGTCCTTGGTTAAAAAACAACGCCGTCCCGCTATTTGTAACAAGAAACTAGATGCAGCTTCCTTGATCTGGAATGAAATCTGTTCAGAAATCTAGAAACACAAAAACCGTTTCTTTTTTTCCTTTCTCTATCGCCATTTTTTTAGTTCCAAAATCTCCTGCTCTGAAGGCTACAGATATAAAAAGAAAATCTCAAATAAATTTATTACAAATAATTTATGTTGTTGCATAAGCTCCTTTATTGCATTTGCTATAGCATCTGAAGCATGCACACCAATAACTTTACGAATTTTGACACAAACACAGTTCGTGTCGATATTTGCCAGTTCATCCTCTCTACTGCGATACCATAACTCAATGTACAAATCTGCCACTAAAATTCATTATTTAAAGCAATAAAATTTAATTATGAGCTTCACAAACATGAAAAACCACAAAACTGGTACAGCAACTGGCTAACTTAGGAAGATTTGATTCCTAGTGGTGGGAAACCTGGTTATCTCAAATGCTACCCTGGTACAAAAATAAACTTTTCAATGAATCGAATTTTGCTGATGAATTTTTACGCAAAACTTAATTACAAAACCGTATTTTAATATTTAAACTATAAAATGACTACACCATAAATGATCCTCTCTGGTGCAATGCATATAACATAATCAATTAAGTTCAAAAAATTGCCATTTTTAGTAGTTTTGCCTCCACCCAAAAGCGATCAATATTAACAAACAAAAAATATTTCATAAATTAGCAAATTTGGTAAGAAATTTCTCTTCCCTCAAACTTTTAATCAGATATAAACTCTTTTTATATTCTTTTTTTTTTTTGTCAATGAGTTATCCATACCACTCCGTTATACAACAAAAGGAAAAAAAAAACTGTAATAAAACTTTAGAAAGTAATATTAGAAAAATTACTCTGGATTTTTGATTTGACTTGTGGCGGAATATCAGTGTCTAACTCGCTTGAAACATCTTCAGGGAATGCATAATGAGAATAGCCGACAACTCCACGACTAGAAACTGCTTGCTCTGACACTTTATACAAATCCATACGATATGACATTTCATCAGAAGATAAGTTTACTTCAATTTCTGTCAAGGGACGTCCAATAGCGAGACCTGAAGATTTAAAAAATCAACACTTTTAATCTCAATATTTGATATATATATATATATGTACATAATTAAATTAAGCAAGTTGTGCATGACACAGTGAATTACGGGTTCACAACATAGTCTGCATCCGGGAAGGGTTAAAATTACTAAATAATGTATCTTGAAATAACAACTGGTTTTAAAATTACGTTTATTAAAATCTATTCATGAGTGAGTTTACAGCACATAGTGCCAGTTGAAAAGTAAGAAATTACCGATATCATGTGTAAGTTCTTTTTCCTCCCGATTGCCTTCAGGCTCAACCAAACAAAGTAAAGGTACAAAAAGCCGTAACGAGAATATGGAACGAGATTCATCGTATAATTCTTCACGTTCACCGTCTGTTCTAATCGTAAAAAATATGTAATCCGATGGTGTCAACAAAAGACTGAACAACGGTAATCTGAATAAATGAATTTCCCTGAACGATTTCTAAAAAAGTTGCCATCGGGAAAAGAATCCCCTTTAATTTAGATTTCTACATCAATACATTTGATTTAAAATCTGAATTTTTTTCTTACACAAGCTGATAACTGTTTCCGGAATATATGAGTGTTTGACCCCATTTCCAATATTCGAGGTTTAAGCATTACTCCTATGTAATAGCTAGAATCAGGTTAAGATTTTCAAAACTGCTGAGAAATAGAAAAAGAATTAACCAGTTGCAAAAAGTTTCACAAACAGCTACTGTTTGTTGGGATGTCAAGTGACGGAAAAAAACAGTACTTTTTCGCTTGTATAAACAATTCTTGTTTAAGCATAGCAAGGGTGAAATCCACAGAGCATCGTACATTGACGAAGAAACCATTTGGCAGTAGTAAATCGAGACTCGTGCTACCCTCCACCTCCAATTGTCCACATTCTATAACTGACCACACATCAGGTGAGTCCTGCGGACAAATCATTTCTTGCATTTCTCTTCAATCGTAATTCCACTATGACATCCTGAAACAAATTCACTCTAAATGTGACAAAGCACGAAGAAACGGCCATAACTTCAAGCTTTTCACCAGGATGATCCATAACTTTCATCTGAGAAATTGGTCTGTAAAATCAGGAATAAAGAGTACTTTTATTTCAGAACTGTCTCTACACAGTTCCATTTATTTTCACAGCTAGCAAAAATCACTTTGAATTATTTTTATTTTTCCTCCTTATCTTCTAACATTAGATTGATGCCTCTGTGCCATCATCGGTCGTTACTTAATATTGCTCAAGCTTAAATTCAGCATATTATTCCACCAATACGCATACACCTCGAACATCTCAGCAACTAATTCACTCACCAACCGGAGTATATTCTAAAGCAGAGTAGTACTGTCACAGTACGTGATAGTTCAGTGAGAGACGGTTTCAAAGTGTTTATAATTAATCTGGTCAGAATTTTGAAAGGATATATTAGAGAGAGAGAGAAAGATCATGGCAGTTCCGTAGTTCTACAAAAACAGATTTCTGTTGACACAAAAACAGATTTATATGATAGTTCTCAGAGGGCACGAATAAATTCGAATCAAATTAATCGGAAATTTTGATTCCGACTAAATCCCTCTCCTATTATGTTCAAATTTCTTATATATCTATATATTAATATTCATAAGAGCATAATAACAACTGAGAGTTTTTTGTTCGAAAACCACTTTACTTTCTTGAATTTTGCATTCAGTTTATGACTCAGATCGATAACGAAATTAATAAAGAGAAATATGAATGGCTTTGCGACACGAAATTATTATCCAAACGACCGGCAGAGAATGTCCTTCTTGGGCATTTCAAAACCCTTTATCGAGTTCGAAATTCTCAGTTGGAACCAGATGACCCCGGAAAAGCTGTACCAATACTAAGGCTGGTGTCAAGTTTCTCTAAAGTTAAACTGAACAAGATAAAGGAGAAACAATTAAATGTTCTGATTAAAAAAACTTCATTACCGCCCAAAATTTGACTGAAGTTCTTAATAAGTTGGTCATTTACTTAGCTAAATTCTGATTAGTATAACTCGACTATTAATTTTTCAGTCAGTATTAAATTAGCAAAACCCTGATAATCAGTCCTCACAGTCAGTGACAAACAATACCTAATTATCTCAGAAGATGAATGAATGTTAAAATCGTAGAAGGCTTGGTTAATTTCTTTAAGAACCGCTAATAATTCCTTTAGGGCACAAGACATGATAATGACATGCTGAAAGTGGTCAGCCGAATTGAGACCCTTCACCTCACCAATCTAATAGTGGTAGTAAGCAGTCTTTAGGATACAGAACATGATAAAAGAATTCTTTTACTTTAACAATCTATCTTTATGTAGACAAAACTTCTTGTAAAGTTTAGGAGTATTGTGTCATTGAAGAAATTCAGTTATGATTAAGCGTGACGTCCTACTTAAAAAGATATTTTCACAGGTGAAACATTTACCCTACTTGTTAACCTTGATTTTACTCCATCAGAAAATGATTTCTACTTTCAATCACTGTTTCTATCATTTTGTTTAAACAAAGAAGATTCTCTGAATCTCAAACAGCACACTACCTTCAGAAACATATCATATCGACTATCTGTCACCTTTACCATTCCCGCACTCCCGAAGACTAATCTGCAGTATCACATAGAAGCTCTCGTTGCATGCCACAGAGTTGCGAAAAAACTGATCCCTAACGTTTTGCAACCTAGACTTCTGTTACAACTGTTTGAGTGAATCAATGTGATCTGAGAGTTATGATAGTTAATTAATTGAATGTAATGATATTAGTTGTAAAGAGATAATTTATGTTATTGAAAGTTTTGCCAAAGCGGAATTGCCGAATAATATTGAAAATGTTTTTGCTTTAATATCAAAATGCTCGTTGAAATTTTGTTAATTTCGAATTGATTAGATGTGTTTTTTGTTTGTTGTTTGATTTCACATCTAAGATGCTTATATTACGTCATCAATATTACATCATCAAGGGTACCTTATGATTATTACTGTTTTATTTTTCAGGTGCAATAGAAGGAGATCTTTGAAGTTGCTTCATCACCTGCTTTAAGCTTGCGTGGGCAAAAATCTCTGATTTTCAGAGAATTATGGTATGTTACAATACTCAGTCTGAGTGATTTCACTTCATCTCACTTTTGTTGGATCCCATACTCATCTCTGCCCACCGCTATGAAACAGATTTTCAATAGCCTCCAACTTGTGACTCCGAAATATAAAGTCAAACATGGAACCCTAAGTTGTATTATTTTTCATTAGACAAAGGTTAGAATCAGTACTATGAGCCCTCGAACATTTTATGAGGTCTCTGAAAGGTAATTATTCGGCAGTCATAAAACTTCAAAGTTGTTAAAATGTGTAAAAGAAATTTTTGTAGAATATTTCTAGGGAGACCAGCAGCTGGACTGCGCTTTAGATTTGATGAGGCGTTTGCCACCTCAACAAGTAGAAAGAAATTTGAATGATCTAATTGATTTGTGTCCTCGCTTGGTGGATGATTTGTTGAGTGCGGTTGATCAGCCGCTAAAAATTGCTCGTGATAAAGAAACAGGAAAGGAATACCTCCTTTGTGATTATAATAGAGATAGCGATAGTTATCGGTTAGTCTTTGTTTGAAACTTTTTAATTTCATGTAATTTTTGTCATATATTACTTTTCAGATTCTCTTTGACGCTTGTTTTGGCGCTTTTGTCATTAATTCATATATCATTACACTGTTTCCACTTTTTTCTAGCTCACCATGGTCCAATACTTACGACCCACCATTGGAAGACGGTGCTGCCCCATCAGATAAACTCCGTAAGCTGGAAATTGAAATGAATGCTGCATTTGAGGCTTATAGAGATGCGTAAGTCTATATTAGTTTGGTCGCTTCAGCAGATGAAAATGTTTTGAAATCGAAACAACTTTATTATTTCAAAAGTATATTACTATTTAAATATAAATTGTTGGTTAATGTCTTTTTTCATGTACTTTTCATGTTACTGCTGACAAAGTTTAGGTTGTAAATATTTTTACAGATATTTTGAGGGTGGCGTGTCCTCAGTGTACTTCTGGGATTTGGATTATGGTTTTGCAGGCGTTGTTTTAATCAAAAAAATTGGAGATGGTTTGCGTAATATACAGGGTTGCTGGGATTCAATCCATGTAATCGAGATACAAGAAAAAGTATATTTTCTACACTGTTGTGGATTTTTTTCTGTTTTCTACTAATTTTTAAAGGCTCTTTTTTGTTTTCCAGGCTGGTGGAAGGCATGCTCATTACAAACTTACAAGTACAGTGATGCTTTGGCTACAAATGACTAAACAAGCAAGCGGTATGATGAATTTAGGAGGATCAGTTACGCGACAGGTGATTTTCATTTTTCATTTTAGCTAACTACAAATAAATAATTTTGCTACTCTTTATTTCACATCGAAATTTGTTTCATTCTTGCTTACTGTTCTTTTTTAGGTTGAAGCTGACCACCCGGTAAACGATTCTACAAATACCCATCTTATTAATATTGGCAAAATGATAGAGGTGAGAAACTTTCTTCAGATCTTTCTCTTCTGAAAGGATTGAAATCGCTTGTTTCAAATAACAGCATTTTTTATTCTATTGAAAATAACCACTTCACTTCACTAATTTTCTTATATTATTTTTACTTCCTGAATTTAAGGATATTGATCAATATTAGCTGGTGACTGAAGCAAATTTAACTAATCAATAAAATATTCATTTTCAGGATATGGAGAGTAAAATTCGATCAACTTTAAATGAAGTTTATTTTGGAAAAACCAAGCAAATTGTTGGTGAATTACGGACCACACTTGATGCTGAGGAGCTGAAACGACAAAAGAAAATTGCAACGGAGATAAAAGGAGGTATTGGCAAGTGAAAAAAAAAGCAAAAGAGATTTATATGTCCTGCAACACAGCTGTTTCACCATTTTCTTTAAAAGGGCTTTTTGGTGCGCTTTTTTGTTTTCCTTGTTTTTCAAATGTTAATTTAGATAGAATGCTTCTTCAGTATTGTAATGATATCCTTATAACTGCTAATTATACGTTTAATTATCTAAATTTTCCACTCATTCACTGTAGTGCTTCATAATGGTTTAAATGCATGATCATTATACTTGGATCTCCTGGGGAAAGCATGTAATAGAAATATCAATTTGCCGATCGGAAACTATATCGGTTATTCGATTTGTAATTGTTACTTACTTATTGCTGCAATGGAAGAATTTTGTTTATTTAAGATGGGCTGTGAACATGGAATTGCTGTGTTGCTACATTTCATAAAAACTGCAAATTTTACTCATTTTCTGTAACTTTTACTTGTCAATATGCTGATAGGATTGTACTCCATAATTTTTCTATGTGCATTGCATAAGTTTCTTTTTTCCAAAATCATTCCTAAATTTCTGGATTTTCGATTTTGACTGGTTATGCCAAATACCTAAAAAAGTTCTATTATCGCAACTTCATTGTCTGTTAATTTTTAATCGATTTTCATTTTGTTAACGTCTAATTTTGAAAAACGAATACATCAGCTTTATTCATTCATCATTTGTTTGTTTCTCTCTTCATGTAAATTTAAATTATTGCGATCCGCTGTTGTAATTCATTATTCATACATTTTACTGTGTGTTGCGTATTCAGTATTGCGAAAATATATATCAGACATCCAAAAAAGAGGAATGATTAATAACAATTATCAACTCTGACAAGCTTAATTGAATCTCCGGAATTTATACCCGTTTTTCCCCCTCTCCTCCCTCTTTCACGCCGGCCGTACTTGATCTTGTCAAGGGATTTTACTGTTTTGGTTTGTTGAAAATTAATCAGAATGAAAGCGATTTTATTAGAACTAATGTTTTAGGAGGCTGGATTTGTTTAGAGGATCAAAAGGTCCAAAAGTATGGCATTTGAAGATGAACTTATGTAATTTATTGCTGATTAGTGACCTGATTCGCTTCTTTACCTATTATGACGTATTTCTGTTCATACACATGCACCCAAATACACTTGCATCCGTGTCCGTTCAAAACAATTACGCAATTTAGGACAGATTTCAAGTTTCCAGAGAAACAGCAAAGTGCTGAAAATGAGAAACTATTCTACGAACACAGACACAAATGCACACCCACATACAATTAATAAAGTTGATTCCTGTGTTGTTCCTTTCACTGAAAACATCCCATCTTTTTGTCAGCTTTTAAAATTTACCAGTCTTCTCCCTTTCGACCATTCAACATTTATCAAATGGCTATTACTGTTGCCTTCACTGATTCTTTCATTAATTTGCCGCTGCTCCTTATTTTATTATTACCCGCAATAGGTAACTGCAAATCGAACATTGATGGTAAATTTTAGTTTTCACTATTTTTATTAGTTAGTGATCTTTCAGTCGTAGTCGCTGCTAATTTCATTCTTCCTTCATCTTACAAATTCTTCTTATTCTATGTCTAGTAAAATAAGTTATAACTTAATTCAAACGAATATTAGTCACAGTTAATGGGCATGATTAGTGATATTATGGATTGCATTATATAATAATGAAAGCAAATAGAAGTAAACGTTGAACCGTTGATTTCTGCACTTTTTCTTCTTTCTCCGAATAGGCAATTTTAAGTTTCAACATAAAATCATTTTAAATTTAAAAAATATTCGTTAAAGCTTTGAAACCATGTTTTGAACAACACATTGGTCAACAGCTATCGGATTTGTCACCATATCATAGTGAGTGGCGAATGAAAACACCAGAAGAGTGTTTACTGTTTTGTGCTCTTTCTTCGGTATTATGAGTTTTGTTTGTTTTTTTTTTAGAATTTCGTTTTAAATTTTTCTTCATTTCTTGATTATAAATACATAGGCAGGCATTTATGTCGGAATTTCTTCACTGACTTTTCCAAGTGAAAAGAAGAAGGTGTTAATATTGATGTTGATTGGATATCTTTAAGTTTGATTAGTACCTTTCAGTTTATAGTTTCTATTTCTTCCCATCCATTTGCAAGTAATTATTGTTTCTTCTCTTTCTCAATAACGTAACTTTACAGTCTCGTTGTCGGTCTACAGTTCATGATACCTTTCAACACATTTGTCATTATTTCTTGGATGATGGTCAGCAACATTCACAAATAGCTCGTGGCATGATTTACTTCCGAGTAGTTGAAAAAAAGTGTTTGGGTAAGATTGAATTGTCGTTCGTTATGTTAGTAAGAGCAGTGTCATGAAATGTTATTTCAGAGACCATAAAATTACTGCATTTAATATGAACCATTGAATTAATATCAGTTTAAATAATTTAATAACAAATTACTACTTCATTCGCTATAATTCCATTCCATTTTTCTCGATCCTTACAATTATTTCATTTACATTATTTAGCTGTTATCAATTTGGCATATTTTTATCTTTAATTTCTCTTACAGACCAATTTTTAAATGGCTTCAACCTCACATTTCTGGGTTCAGAATTCGCAATCTCAGAGGCATTACCGTCTACTCCGAAGTATGACACAAACACAGGTTTTATTGAGTTACAGCGACCTGCAGTAGCGCATTCAAACCCGTTGATTCATATACCACCCGGTGGTCGAGCTATAACTCCCACTCCTTATTTCGATTATTTTGATAATCAACAAAAACTTAAGAAGAATGAAAAGTTTGACGAATCGAATCTTACTACTGCAACTTCCATTATAACTACTTCTGATAAAATTATCGTTTCTGCTAATGGTATTACTGTTAATACTTTTACTTCTTCACCAACTGCATTATCAAAGGTACTCTCTAAGGATTATCAAATTTACGACGAATCTGCTCAAATGATACCAGCTTCCAAATTTTTTGTGTCAACTTTTCCAACGTTGTTGTCCACACACAAAGAAAATTTAATTAATTTAACATCCAGAAGAACTAAAGTATTGGAAAAATCAAGTCATGAAACCCACTTATCTGATGATGCTTTATCTTTCACCGAAAACATCAGGAAGCTTCAAACGCTTAGCGCAAATTTCGAAAAAGATCGTCAGGAAAATGGTGTTGATTTGAATAAACTGTTGAAAATGGTTACGGAAGACATAAGACGATCACCAATTAAAACTTCCATAATAGATGTGGAAAAGTTAGATGAGGTAGAATTAGCAATTCGTCCTTTTACTTCTGTTTACTAATATAAAAATAGCAGTTACCAGAGTTTCAGTCAATTTTAGGAAGAAATCTAAACACCAAATTATCTTTCATCTTCACCTCCGTTCTTTATAGCTCAAATCACATATGTGAATTCAAAAAAATTCTGAAAATCATGCGCTTCTTTAAAGAGAAATACAAGTTGTGAATTCTCTTAAATTGTTGTTTGCTTTTCTTAATTGACTCTAAATTGAAATTTATGTGTGACAGATTTTTACTGCAAATTTAGTTTGTGATGAAACAATTATTTAGAACCCAAATGAAATGATGACACTCCTGAATACTGAGAAATCCATTCTGGATAAGTTGATACCAATTTCGACAGTTAAATCGATCTCCATGACACTTTCTAAGCAAAATAATAGAGCAGAAAAACTTCTTCCAACAGGTTTCCTTTTCGATGAAACTGATGTTAATCATCAAATCTTTCTCATCAACCAAAGATTTGAGGAGCGTATGAAATTTCATGAATTATTTCTAGTAGATAATATTAGCTACTCTTTTTAGTTCGGATAGCGTAACAGAATTGATCTCAAAAAATTTCATTAGTCTTAAAGGAGATTAGTATAATTGTATTATAATTTGCATTGAAGTTGCATTTACAACTAATAATACTTACCTGTAAGTACTATAATAAGTACATAGCAGCAATATGTGGAAGCGATAAGCGTGAAGTATGGCTCACTGTCGTAAATGCTGTATTAGAAGAGAACAGGTTGCAAAAGAAGACAAGTGCTGGGTCGTACAACTCTTGCAAAATTAAGTGTAACCTTATCACTGTTCGTTCTTACACATTATTTATGAGGCCTAATTACCTAATAAATAAATCAATAAAAGAATTTTTTATTAACAGTTCTCTTACTTTAAAAACTAATAAGTGAATTGTATTGATTATTTACTTTTATTGATAATTTCAGTTATAGGTTTCTGGGAGAGAATGTACTTCTCTTACTTATGATGCAGTAAAACGACATTGTGTGACACATACCAATAATAACGCCATTGTAGCATCTTTAGCTTTTTCACCATCACCTGAATCCGATTTCAGCATTCGAACAGCAGTGAAATTCTGCTATCCAGGTTTAATTCTCGTTCTGTTAGTCATTAGTCTTAGAAAAAAAATGAAAAGATATTTGAATATTTAAGTTAGAAATTAAAGAACTAATATTATAAGCAGTCGTGCTAATTCGTACTCCTTATAATTATAGAAAGTTTGATTCTTCTCGAAGAATGTTCTGAATTTATTGCGTTTCTGGATTATGTGATCGATATTAAGCCTCGGGAAATTTTTGACGGTATTCCGAGAGGTCATCAAGGATTACATGCATGCATTGAGCTATGTGTCTTGGCACCTCATTTTCACTGCAAGGTATTCTTTGTTAGCACCAACTTCTTCCTAAGCAAGACAGTTGCATATCATTTAACTTATATAATTTTTCACAAAATCTGTTCTGTCATTTACCAAATTATATCTTCTAGTGATAATACAAAGCATTTTTCCATAAGAAATTTAATGATTCATTCAATAATACTTTTTTTTATATTGGAGTTCTGAGTTTTGACATGGAATGGAAATAGGACTGCTAATATCTCTTATAAAATTTAATCTTCTTATCGTTGTACATTTTTTATTTTGTTTTCCAAACAGTTCGTGACTATAATTTCTAAAATCTTTTAGAATATAGTGGCTTGATCTTTTTTATTCATTTAATTTTGAACTTGCAGTCCGCAGCATTTGTTGTTAATTTGGGCAAATGTTTGTTGTATGATGAAAATTCATTATCAAGCCCTGAACATTTTCAAGAGCATCAGCAGTATGGATTGATTTATTTCGAGAATGGATGCAAGCAGTTTGATAAAACACAAAGTTGGATTAATTTTTCTTATCATTTTATTAAATTTTAAGGAAAAATATAAATGCTTAGCTATGAGAGAATTGTTTCTAAACTAAAACAATTACCAGATTCAAAAAAGTCATAACATCGATTCCTTCCTGCTACTGCTAAATGAATATTCCAAAAAACAAGTTTTTTAGTTCCAACGGAACGTCTCCAACATCTCCCAATGAAACGACCTAAAAATGTTCGATGAAAGCAATGAGAACAGATTTCCGCTGCTTACTGTTGAAAACCAATCATTTTTATTAAGAAATAAGCTGAAATCCGCATCACTAGTATACCTTACTATTTACCATCAGTTCTACTTATAGTCTTTTTGGATCAGTCTATGCTAATGAATGAATTTGTGTTTATATTATTATTTATTTTCGTGTTTTCAGAGAATCTCACTTGATGAAATCTCACATAGGTGTGATCAGTTGCAAATGAATCATAGCATTACTACATTGGTTAATAACCAAACTAATACTTACTTGTTTGGCGTGAGAACCGCCTATAAGTTGATGTAGGGTAGAGTGTTATACAATCATATATATCTTCGCCTTCAGTCCGCACCTTCTATGCTACAATTAAAACATTAAACTCACAGACTTTTTTTGTTAAGTCATTTTGAATATTGTGAATAAATATAAACATACTATCGTATTCACGTCAAATCTCAGCGTGTAGCGTGTCTTTTTGTGCTACTCTTATACTGGCTCAAAGAATGTTTTGCTGGCAGCCATAAAAGATTTCAGAAATTATTAATGACGATGTGATTAAAATTACTTGCAGTAAGACAAGAAACCTCCTCAAAATCAGAAATATCAATTGTTGAAAATACTCAGTTCCAAAAATTTCCAGGAATGTAGCAATGATTTTTAGCCCTGATTACTTATATATGTACAACCTGAATAATTAATCTCCAATCAAGCATATATTAAATAATTTATTTAATAAAATCACGATATTGTTACTCGCCATCTCATAACAAGAGAAAAAGGTTTGTTGATGATTCATTAGGAACTATTTTTCTTGAAAACGCAGTGAACTATTTGCGCTATTATTTCAATTTATCGTTTTCTTCGTCTTTGATTATTCTAATGTCATTCAGAATCCTTTTCACACCATTTCAAAAGGTTTCTTTTTTTGTGAAATTCTGCTGACAAAAATGCATTGAA